GGAGACAGACAAGACAACATGTGTCTCCAACAGTGTCCGCAAAACGCATTCAGCCATACTCAAATGAGTTTCGCAGCCACGCCATCCTCCATCGTCCAGATATTGAATGTATGGACATTTCTTTCGCCTTTGAGAGGAAACTGTTCCTAATATCATTCTCTAATAAGAAGAATCTATTTTCGCCGTTAAATCAATCGTAGGCGCCCACAGAATCAGCTTTGATATGCCTAAGGCTCCGAAATTTTGACGCCGTGGAAAATGTCCTCTTTAGCAGACTGCCCCAATATAGCGTGCACCAACTCGTGCGAGGTTGCACCATTCGAAGTTTCTGTACGGAAGCTGATGCAAATACTAGCTATACTAGCTCTTATTGCTACGGAACTCCTTGTCGACGGCTTATGAGACGGCTTATACATCTGCACAATGGGCGGCGATACTAAAGGCCTCACACTCATTCCGGCTCAATAAACTGGGATTTCCTCGAACAAAATGGCTAGCAGAGACCAGTTGATAAAATAAATTAGTTTTATTGTTGATTGCACAACGAGGTCATGAGCAATAGCAGTAGTGCTTGAAGCATATAAATAATGCGATCAATAAATTATAACGATTAACATTCTGAAGGCACTCAATGCTTTTTCACTCTGAGACAGAGTGCTGTGCAGACGACGGCGAGGATCATGAGGAAGACAAGACCGGAGACCATCACTGACATCACATGTAGCGACATACATACTCCTTCTGACGGCAAGCTGATCAATGTGGGGTCGGCAGTGAGACGGGCGGCCTCAGGCAATGCTGGCAGCTGAAAAAAACCTTTGAAATATTTGAATGGGCCTTTGAAAAAGCCAGAATCCGTTTCATGGCATAAGATTGTTTGATACTCTTATCTTTGAGTTGCCTTGAGAATGAAAGCAGAGTTTTAAGATCTTTTCTCCTCTTCTCCTGCAGCTTTCAAACGTCAACATAAGTAAATCTGTTTGCTAATAGGTTAAGGTGAGACGACTGAGAAGAGGCAGGCTTTGAACAGTTATTCAAAAAGTGATTTTTTTAATGAGTGGAGAGACCAAGAAAAGCAGTTCCCGACGTACGATATCAACCTTGGGCAATCTTATTCAGTATAATCGAGTTCGAAAGGACTTGCGCGTTAGTAGATACCAGCTATGGAGTAGAAGCTGGCTTGGTGTTTTCTGTCCCACAACGTAGTTACTACATTTAATTAGTCACTTTACGGGGTGGCGGCACAGTCCACGTTGTTCGTGTAGGCTCAGAAGCCCGACCAGTGTGCTTACTCCGTTGGTCCATATTCTTTACTGTGTTCAAAGGAGTGAAGCTGCAATGACAGAAGGCAAATTGTTTGGTGTCTCCACCCACGCAATGAATGTGAACTGCCCCTTCGACCATGCAGTCTGACAAAACTGATCTTATACCTACAAAGCCGACCTTATACCTAACAACGCGGTAGCTACAGAAAGTAGGGTTCAGAGTAGTGCGTAGGGTCTACGGAAATTATTCCATTTTTTCGCAAGTTTCTGGTGAATCCTAGTAGCTGCTCTAGGTTTTCCTTGAGTTGCTTGTCGTTATCCAGGTAGCCTGAAAGAATAAGGGGGAATATCTGTGTCATCCTTTCTTGTTCCACACGGATAAGTAAAGAAAATTCCATCACGGGTTCAGAATTTGGGCGCTGTTCGGCTTCGGGGGGGGGGCGACATTTTGTCTTTTCGCTGGTTCCTTTTGGTGGTTACTTTTAACCTGTTAAGACCTCCAAACTCTTGTCAAGTGTAAATGAAGCTTGCGATATTGCGAATCTTTATCGGTCCCTGCAGATGGCATCGACTGCGGTCGATGGAAACCGGTAAAATGTCCTCATCATGTCGAAGTGCGCTGGCCTACGTTGTAAAAAAACACACTGTAACCAACCTCTCCATCGAGTACATCAAGAGCGGTGATTTCTGCTCGAACGTCCAAAACATTCTCAAGAGCAGAGATCGTTGATCGTTTTTTCAGCACACGGAAGAACTGTGCTTGACGTTCCTGCTTGACTGCTCCGAAGGCCTTTGGTTCAGCACACTGAGGTCGGGCACACTCGGCGCTTGGCTCCTAAACAGAATGTTCTTTTACTCTGCAGCGATCAAACGAGTAAAGGTGTAATAAAGGAGAAGATGGAGAAATTTCAGGGTAGAATAAACTTCACACCTATGGGTGACTTCCCGATGAAGGGAAAGAATAGCAATGTTCTCCGTGGCGTGCCGGGACGGTACTGGTGCCTGTTTCCTACGATGAATTGTGTAGGTTAAACTGTTAATCGGGGAATCGGGCCACGTCTTGTGACGAGGACTGGTTACTCAATCCTGGCTGAAGTACTGGTATTTTGCCCCCAACCCTTCTAGAACTCGGACTGTCCTTTGCCTCCTTCTCCTTACACCCGTGCCCGCGCATCACTTATTTCCTTATCACTGTCAACCACAATAAAGCACGCTGCTGAAGCACAGTCATAGTTTTCCGACTGAAAGGCTGCCATTTCAGCTCCAACAGAACGGCGTATGGAAGCACGACGCCGTGCTCCAGAGAGAACGCTTTAATGTTTCAAATCGCCACTAAGAAGCGTTGCATTGTGCTAGAGAGAGAGGGGGAAAAAGTGCAATAAATCAACAGCAGAAGCCCGTGCCCCTTTGGTCTCCTTTCAGTCACAAAACATGCCTTTACGTCAGCACAGCCAGCGCGGCATCCCCAAAGTATGGTCCCTCTGCTCACCAATATTGTCAAAACGTGGCCTTTTTTGGGGGTTCCTTATCAGAAATTGAACTTGTCAAACACCTGTTCATGGCCATTAAGGTTTTTATGAGGTCCTATCGTAGCGATGTCCAGAAACAACGCTAAATCTCTCCACTAGTTTTGCGTCCGATCGCATAAACTAGCTCAAGATGTCATACGAAATTACTGGAGACGCCTTGTTGAATACGCTTAGTGCACGGTTGGTAAGATGGTCAATTAGAGTGAAACAAGCCGAAACCATAAAGGTCTTCTAGTTTCTCTACGCAGTAACCAAACACTGAAGGTGTCGAGCGGAAGTTTTTTTTTGCTTTTTTCTTCGAAATTTGGCATAGAAAGTGCATGGGTAAAACTGAGTTCTCATGGAGACAGGGCTAATTTCATGTGAGCGATTTGAAGTTACTACTCAATCAATAGCTACCGGCGCTTTTCACGCCGCAAACATATAGTACTGAGAAATTTTTTACCTTGATGGAGATGCTGATCTGGCACTGGTAGAACAGTTGACTGCGATCGGCATATTTGTAAACGTGAGCTTCCTGAAAGTGTGCAACGTCTTAATAATATAACAAGTAATCAGGAAATCCCGGGTCGCTTTTTTCTGAAACAGAGTTCAGCTGTAAGCTAGCAGCTGCCGTCTAGAAATAGATTCGTGGGCTAGCCAGCAAGAATGTTTAGTTTTGGGACATGAATTGAAACAATGGCTCCAGTCGGGCTCGAACTCGCACTGCAGGCTTCCCAGGTGGTTGGGGGGGCACTCGCCACGAGGGCCACTCCTATCCACTCAGCTCAATAGCTTTTGTACCATAGCCTTACAGCACCCCGAGATCAAGACTTCTGCCAACATAACTTCAGCATTCTGATAAGCTAGTCGAAAGTCGCCGTTAAGTAGATTCGAAATCCCCTGAGATCGGATAGCGTGGCCGCATTTTTCAACTCAACCTGAAGGTGTCTATGCTTCTGGTGAGCTACTTTCATGCTGACACTATTGGTCTCGTGGCTTTGTCCTTCGCAGAACAAGAGAGCAGTTTGTCCCGATGGAATATCGGCACGAGTCACCATCATCCGTGCCATGATCAATGCCACGCCTACCTGACCTCAGGGATAAGAGTGTAGATCAGCAGCCGCTCGTTACAATGTTACGCTTCAGGAGTACGATTGCGCTCAGTCAGCAGGAGAGGGAGGGAGAATAATGACATGGGCGGGACCCAATCCTCCACCATGGAGTGGGGAAGCGTCAATGAGCGAACGCACGATCATTATGAGTTCCGCCCAGAGCTTACTCGGCGCAAATGTATCGTCTATGTTCTTTTTCTCGCAGAATGTGTCGTTAGATTTGCCCTTTTTGCTGTTCAGTAGCTAGAGAAGAAGCGATTTACATCAATGTACCAACCTGTCCAGCCATGAGATCAGTGGGATATTCGAGATTGTTCAGCAGGAATTTGTCGAGAGCGCAACCATTCTCGTCGAGAATCTTAATAATAAATACTTGTAGCATTTGCTCGATCATTTTTTCTTCAACTTCTGGATGGTTCATGAAATATATGACCAGTTGGACCACAATTACCTGGACGGTATCACCATTTCCGTCGTCAACAGTACAGGTGTGCACGACGGCGCAGAAGGTGTCAATAGTTTCGGAGTCACAAGTCCATTTGTGATACACCTGAACATGATCATTGAACGAAAATATTCAGGGACTACCACGCACCGTCTATACCACGTAAATAGGGAGGGCGTGGCCGCGTGTTTCCTGTGAACGTGGCGGCGGTTGCGTTCCTGTTAGATGTTGACGCTTCGAGACAATTGTGATCATGCCTTTGCCCAGCACAATACAAGATAACAGTTGTCTCAAAAGGAAACATCGCGCAAAAAGTCTCCTGCGCCATGTTTCAACTAAGTAGGCAGCCACGCCCTATTCATTCATGTGATATGGAGTATAAGTGAAACTCTTACCTGCTGTCCGATTGTGGCAAACTGTACAGGCTCTCCCGTTGGTCCACCATTGAGAATCTCGTACTTGCACACAGGCATGGGGACAATCTAAATTTTGCATTCGGGAAGTATGAGTGCTTTGTGGACGTTATATGGTTCCCCAAAGGAAGGATGTCAGTCTTACCTGAGTCTGGAAGGCAGTGGTGAGATCAGACACTTCGATTTGGGTGGACACGGTCTTGTCGGCTTCCATGTAGAAGCACTGGATGCGGTAGGCTCTGAATCCATTCGCACTTTGAATCAGTAGTTAAAAGTGAATAGAGCTATGTTCTTATTTCCACCAGGTAGCCGATGAGCTGAGAATTTGTACTGCATCTGTGTCAGACTAGAGGGACCGCTGCACCACTAGTCTCTTACTTGGGCTCAGACCCCCAAGAGAGGTGAAAAGGAGAAGCCCCTTATGAGCACCCTTTTCGCGCTCTCACCGACTTTGAGCCCGATGGAGGGATAGTAGTGCAGCGCTTTCTAGGTCTCGTTTGGTAGTTGTTTTATGAGCTGTGTTTCTGCTCCCAGAAGAGAAACTGCCTCACCTGTCAACTTTCGTTACGAACTGAGGATGGAACGAGACGACAACAGTTGTGGTAACGAACACACCACGTGGGTTCAAGGACCGAGTACGAGCCACATTGCATGAATCGAAAGGAAGTTCGATTCCGGCTACCTAAAATACCTCATCTCAAATTCGAATAGAATGCGTAGGATGACAGAGTTTCTCCAGACAGTGTGTGAGCGATTTGGAAGGGAGATGACATAGGTAATGCCATTTTCGTGCAAAATCGCGCTCTGTTCGAGTCTGAGTGAGTCTTGTGCCAATCAGTATCACTCTGAGCCTCGCCAGCCTGCTTGATCAACACTGGTTTCTTCCATTTTATTTATTCGTCTTCACTTTTGGAAAAGCACGTCCAGTCTTTCTTT